ATTTAAGAATTTTATTGAAAAACACCCTGGAGGTGTGGAGGCACTCACAAATTATGTGTATGTCCTACCTTTTCCCCTGTTAGTTACACTTCCTAAACTTTTTGTGATTTATAAGAGTTAGTTTAAACGCATGTGCTGCTAGCAAACAATGCCTTGATAGTAATCCCTCCAGAAGTATCGACTTCGTTCTTCTTGTTGATAGTAGAAAATCGGTAAGTTTCTGATCATCTGAAGTGCACATAATTTTTGCATTTCTGCAATACTGAGCTCTTTTCAAAAACCTTTAGGGCACATGACCTTGTAATCTTTTGAAAAACAAATACAATGGAAGTAAAATTTACTTGATGATTGAGTAATTGATAATACAGCCATATGCCAGGACTTAAAAAAAAAAGAAGCTAAATCGGGCAAAAGCTAAAAAAAGAGGTTAAAAAAGGTCAGTCTTTTCATTATGTCTTTAACTCTTTTGCACAAAGAGGTGGTACAAATGTACAACCGAGCAACAAAAATGTAAATACCTCAACAACCAAAGTATTTACGATCATAAAATTTCACGAAAGCCTTGTGCAAACATTTTTGAATACCATACCGTTTAATAAAACTATTTTAATAATAAAGGGGACTCTTTTTTTAGGGTCTAAAAGCCCATAGTTCTTAAAGACAAAGTAATGGTAAATTTTTACCACCAAATATCTTCATACATTTCAATACGATTACAATCGTTAAAGTTTAAATTGGAGCGCGCACACGAAAATGAAGCAGACTAAACGGCAAGGTCGATTTCTATTTGATAAACTTTTTAACTCGACACGGGTGCTTCAAAGCATACCATAACCGACGCAAACACGAACCGCAACCCATTTGAGACTACTGCGGAACAGATGTAATAGAATACGTCTGTTTTGAGTGTATACGATTTGACAGTACCAGATGCAGACTTCGCAAAATTTCTGGCGAGAGTTTCATGCCTGAGTCACTCGTGGAGGCTATGCTAGAAAGCAGCGAAAAATGATCCGCAGCATCTGACGCAATAGCAGAGGCGATAAAGAGACTCACGATGTAGTCGAATGACGTCAAATTCCCGTGGGGTGCGGTGTTCTAAGAAATAACATGCTTTTCCTGGTTTTATGTGGACACTTGACAGTCGCTGAAAAAACTGTTGAAGTATAAAGAACGAGTTCGTTGAGTAAATTTGGTCGGACAAAGCGATGGCGCCGGGTGATATTCGCTTAATATTTCGTCAAGTAAAACTGAACCGGAACAATAATTTAGTACTGATACAAACAAATATTGTGGAGCAATGATTGGGTCAAAATTACCCAATTTTCATGAAAACCTTTAATTACAGAGTTAGGTAATTTTAAATAAGCTGCGGCGTTGTCTATTCGTTAAAAGCGTAATCAGTGGTTTTGCAAAAAATAAAGAGATTTTTTTATTTTATTTTATTTTCTAGAAGACAACATAGTTTTTCCATACACCCACAGTGTTTCTGGGTCATTTTGACCCAAATTCTTATTTAGTATTTAACGGCAACTTTGAACAGATAAGCATACAGCACCTGTTGATAAAGTTTCTGCATGTGATAAATAAAATATTAACTGAATTCAATCTTCTTTTTTCTTAAAATTGACTAACTTCTATTATTGGATCAAAAATACCCAAAACATTAAAGGAAAGGGTAAATTTAAAACACTGCATAAGGGTTCCAAAATGCTAGTTTGCAAATAAGAAAAGGCTAGAAAAAAGCCCTGAAGCCAAATACTAAATTTCGCAGCTAAACGACAAAGAAAAAAGCTAGCTCTAGCCTCAAAAAGGCTAAACTGGCAACACTGCATATGAACATAAGCACATATTAATTTATATGTGCATATTATGTTTTATTTCACTATCAAATATTTACATTTGCTGCTAAAAAAAATTGGTCGCTATTTGGAATTGAAACGCTGCCGTCGATAAGAAGCACATAAAAAGTTTTTCCGGGAAAAGGACTTGTATGTATGTAGGGACAGACTAAAAGTGCGATACTATGGCTAATGCCGATTTCATTTCTACCGGAAAATGCAACCTTTGCCCTCTACGCACAAACACCAAGAAGAGGGCGATGAGAAGGCAACATTTGCTCTGTGTATTTGTGTGTCATTTTTGTCAAACTCAAAGATATTACAAAATTAAAAAGGAATAAAATCAAACAAATTTAAATCATTTAAGATTATTTATTTATTTATTATTTATTGCCGAAAATATTTTTGTGGCGGGTTGCCACCTATTTAAAATATTGTTTTTTGATAAGATAATATAAATACTGAATTAATATAATTTTGAAGAAAGTGTACGATTTGTAGAATCGAGTTATAAGATTATAGATTACATTTCCAGGATTACCTACCTATCTACCAACACCTTTATTTATAAAAAATAAAGTATCTTTCTTGTATCGGAATTTGTTTGAAAATCTCACTTCATAAAACTATTCAACTACATATATTTAATTTTTTATAAATTTTCAAGGCGCAGTGTAGCACGCCGGGTATTTGCTGGTATACAATAACAATCTTTTCTCGAATATTCTACTTTCATTATGTTGAAAAATCAGTTATTTTCATGTTATTCTTTCAGGTTTTGCTTGCCGCTCGTTTTTGTCTCAATATAATGTTACAAAGTGCTATTTACATACAACGTTTTTAAAGAAGATTTTCTGAATTTTCGGAAGTTGCTGGTTTTTGGGAAACAATTTTTGTTCCGTCCCGCCCGCATAACTTCCCGAAAACACCCGTCCCGTCCACTTTGAAATTAGTATTGTGGGCCCCTTAAATACTTTAATGCTTGTAGTTCTGAGTATTTATTAAATACAATTTTGTCCATCATTTTAAGAAAGATCCACATATGGGTGTACGCATTTGGTCCAAACTGCATTTTATTATTTCTTTAGAACACTAAACTAATTTTGAAAAGCTGTCGTTGTCATTTGTATCGAAAAGAGTTAAAAATTAACTTTACTTCCAGAATAATACAATGAATTGTGGCTATATAGGCGCAACGTATGCGCATGCATATGTTTGTAGTATGAACACATATTTTCATACAAAAATATGTCTGTACACATACAAATTAAACTGTTTGTAATCAACAACATCAATATTTCGTTTTTTATATTCCACATTTATAAATAAACATGTACAATACATACATACATATGGATGTGTGCATGTATGTAAAAATGTATACACCCATGGCTAAGATAATAAAAACACATCACTTTGATTTTTTTCTAAATGTAACACGTTTTTTTCTAATTAAAAAAAATGTGTAACGTAAAAACACATCATTTTGATTATTTTTTCTAAATGTACACGTTTTTTTTCTAATTAAAAAAAAAAAAAGTGTAACATATTTTGTATGGAATATGCCTGAAAAAATTGTCAAAAATCGAGACGATTTTTAGTTACTTAAAACTTACACTTTATTATACTAAAATTTAATGCGCTATAAATCTGATTAGAATGTTGAAAATTTAGATGCAATTTTGCAGAGTTTTTATAACCTTTTCACAAATATAGAAATAGGCAAAATTTGTTAAAATGTCGCGGCTCTATTTATATTACCACCACTGTATATATGAAAATGTATACATGTACATATAGAGTACTTACGTAGATATTACAAAGTTTTCAGATTTCATTGTTTATAAACAAAACTTTGGATTTATATGTATATGCATATACATAAGTGCATGTACATGTATATAAGTTCATACAAACATGCATACATACATGCATACATACATACACACATATGTACATTACTGATATGCGGTTTCGAGTATTTAAGGAACCGGTTCTTTAGAGTCTGGTTCCAAGGAGAACCGAGAATGTGGACCTTTTTTAGATTTCAAATTCAAATCAAAAATTCAATATCTTTTTATATTTTTTTTATAAAGTAAAGTACAGAAAATAAATATAAATATTAATTCCTTAGTTGATATTTGTATCACAAACATTTTATAACAATAAAATACAAGAAATTAAATTTAAGTAAGCGTTTTCTACGTTAAGGCTTCATTTAAATCAAAGTAATGTTACTATTTAAAAAAGAACTTTTTCGCTGCTCTTTTGACGCATTCAAATCGCTGGTCATTATCATTGACTGGGGGCTCGTGCTCGTCTGCTCCACTACTTTAAATGCTGCTGCCATTCAATAATGTGGAAAAGTGTTCCTCCATAATTTGATAAACGTTCTGGACATCGGTCGTTGGTTGTTCCTATAGGAGTTCGCCCCGGTCTTGAAACCTTCCGTAAGTCGCCTAACTCTCTGATAAAAGTTGTGAGCGTTTTTCCTGTCGGCTAGAATTTTAAGCTCTTCGCTCTGACGTATTTCGGCCTCTGCCTTCTTATTGCGGCAAATACGTCTCGCTACCATCTTCATTTCATTATAACGGCACCCGCGGTATCCCGCGGACTCGTATGGAACAAACCTAATAAAAAAATATTCTTTGTTTATTTGTATTTGGCCGTTAATTGCAAATTAAATTAACTTTGTTAAATTACCCATATTTTAAAGGTCCGTTTTCTAAGTCTGCGCCGCTGGCTATGCGAAGGTCAACTGGTATGCCGTCGGACCCATGCCGTATTTAAGCCGTATTATTGCTGTGCTTACCTCGTCTGATTCGTGTGGAGGGTCGTGACGTCGTCACTATATATTTGTCTGGATTATTTATCAAACGCGCCACCGCTGTTGCCATCAGAAAGCCTGGATGAGAGCTCGCTCCATGTCTAAAGTATACTTGGGTCGTTTGTGACCAAATTTCTACCTTAGTCGCTGCAAAGCCCAGTCCTGAATATATTTTTGGAAATCGTTGGCTTTTAGAAATTTAGTTTTTAGGTCATCAACTGCTAACGCAAGCCAGTTCTTACCACTTAGATTTTGTAGACATGTACTTACAACACAAAAACTTGATGCAAACTATTTTAAATTTTTATTTATTTTTTTACAAATTCTAACAGCAACAAAGAGTTTGAAGGAAAATGCCAATCTCAGCCAGGATGAAATCGTCAAACTCCAGCAACGTTGGCAGCAAGAGCGGGAATGGATGACGCAATTGCAAGCTCCTTACATAGTGCGCGGTTTGAATGATCTGGTTGAACCACAGTTTATCGCATACCTCACAGAACGCCATGCCTGGCGACCACTACAGCCTATCGTCATGGAATACTGCAACGGCGGTGACTTACGCGCACAATTACAATTGGTGCAAAACATCAATGGGTTGGCGGAGTTCAAGGTACGCGAGATATTGCATGCGCTTCGTCATGCCATTGAGTTTTTGCACACAAAATGTCGCATCGAACATCGAGATCTCAAGCCGGATAATGTGGTCATTCATAATGCGACGGATGGGCGCCGGATCTATAAGGTAAAAAGCTTCGTGTTTATTAGGTATTTTTTACTACTCTGCAATAATTGGTTTTTGTTTTTCATTCTTAGCTCACTGATTTCGGCTTCGCCCGTAACATTACTGAAAATACTATGCTAAAAAGTATTGTTGGCACCCGCAACTATGTTGCACCAGAAGTCTTGGATACGGCCCACTATAAGAATACCGTAGACTATTGGTCGCTGGGTATAATTGCATTCGAATTGATGTGTGGCAATTTGCCATTCATACCACATCAACAGCTGTATGATATAGTAACAAATATACGTAAGAAAAAAGAGAAATGCATTGCTATTACGGAGGACATAAATGAACTGAAATATGTTTTCCATGAGAAAATGCCAATTGAGAATCGCATGAGTAAAGTATTTTTAACTAATATTGAAGATTGGTTAACTATAGCATTAGATCAGAATTACCACACGCGCGGTACGCGACTAGTACCGGAAACCAAGGAGCGTGTCCTTACATTTTATACCGATTTGGATCGTATTTTGGCACAAAAAGTATTGACGGTTTTCGTTTTACCCACTTTGAAATTTTATGCATGGGAACTCACAGAACAGATGACACTTTTAGATTTTAGAGAGCTTGTCAAGAGAGACACCGGCATAGAAGATATGTTTTGTATTTTCCCGACTGGCCATCCCAGAACAGTGCTTTCTCACACCTACAGGGCGATCGACTTTTTCGTCGAAGAATGGCAAAATAATCGTGATAGCGATAGTCCGCCAGCGATGCTGTATATAGATGACATGAAATGCAGAGAATACCAGGTAACGCAGCCGGAAATTCCAGTCAATTTAAAAAAATATTTGAATGCCCGAAAAGAAATACCAAATTGGCTGTTGAGAACTATCGAACAAAGTACACATTTTATGCTTGGTAATGAGCAGCTCCAACTAGAAGCATTTGTTAGTGGTTTGAAAGAATATGCTCTGACCATGGAGCACGAAATATTCCAGTTCGATGCAGAAGAGAAGGGAAGACCTTTGCAACAATATTTCACAGCGCTCACCGACATGCATGGTCGTGTAGAACAATTTTGCATGAGCGTAGAAGCGGCACAGCGGGCGTGCTTGACGCAGGTGATACTGCAAATACTGTGCACTGATTTAAAGCTCATTTATTAAACAATATAAACTTTTGAATAATATTTTTTTAGATTGGAAATTGCGACAATTTCTTCAACCAATGGTGGGCGAAAGCGTGGAAATTTAAAGAAGATATCGCTACTTTGAATGGACTTAAGACCAAGGTCAGCCGTTACTATAAATCTGGATTGCGGCGTGCCAAAGAAATGGCAGTAAATCCATTTTTCGACCAGCTAAAGAATAAAGACGCATATAAGCTGTAAGAGCTCACAATAGTAAGCTTAATTCATTTATTTTTTTATAACATTGTTTCCGTGACCTTTCAGCCTGGAGTTTAGACGTCATCTTGAAACAGTGCAGAAAGTCAGAGTTAATGAAAAGGAGCGCTTAGAGGCTTGCAAAACAGCTGTGTACGCGTGCCTAGGTGAAAGAGAAAATGCTTTAAAGAGTCCGCACTTAAAATTTGCCTACTCCGACATTAGTTCAGTGAATCAGGAGTTCTTGAAGTTACGAAATATTGTCGATAATAGTTTGCGTCAATTAGAGGAAATGGGAAACAATTTAACGCAAAGTACTATAGATTTTCACACCAAAATTATTGACATTTACAAAGGTGGTAAAGTACAAAGTACCAAATTAGCACAGGATGGAGTGTCAACGAAATTCCTTAATGGCAATGCAGACGTAGAGAACAGCATTAGCGAACTTCTTCACTATCCTGTTACGCCCTTGATCGAAGAAGTGACTGGAATGATAGTGCAGTAAGTTTTACAATTATATTAATAAATATTTTTATAATTGCATTAGCTCTGGGTTTTGGTAATTCTATATAAGTCTAAAGCAGAGCTCTCAAGAGATGTAAAAAACATAGTATTTGCATGGTATTTAAGGAGTTACAGGAAGAGGTCGGTTAAGTAAAAAATAGTTTTAATATATGTTACCTTAATATAGAAAGGCCCTATTTCGCATCTTCGCTAAAATACAAAAAGCCGTAAAAAAAACCCCTTTTTGATTGATTATGATGCATTTCATCGAATTTATAAGTCCCCACATCATCTTAAGCAATAAAAAATTTTAGTCAGTTACGGCTTTTTTGCATTTCAGCGACTATATTTGTTAGTGCCTTTCTATATTGAGGGAACGATAGGTAGTTTGCGTTTTGGCATCTGTTTGAGAGTGTTAAAGGTCATAGCCAGATATTTTGGACCTACACAGGCTAATTAAAGTGTTTTTATATATATATATATGGGTGTTTCCAGCGGAAGGTCCACCACGACAAAAAAAATAAAAGTTTTATATTTAAAGTATTTACGGGCCGATTTGTCTGCTTTTTAAAATATATACTGGATATGTAAGTAGAATCATGTTTGCATAAAATGGTCTTCCTAGGTGGTGCCAAGGTCGAGATATTTCGAAAAACCGTATTTATGGTCCGATTTGGTTCGAATTTGGCGTATGTGGTTGAAACATAATAAATCATAGATTTCTAATAAATTTACCCTGAATTGGCACTGGAGTCAAAATATGAAGTATATTCTACATAAAAAACATGTTTTATTTGCGTTCAAAATTCAATTAAAAGCAATATTAACAAAAATATAACGATGGAAATTTATGTCACGTGACGCCACGTCACGTCACGTTTCACACTTGGGGTTGTAGAAGAGAATTGAAACAATTTGCATTAATTCAAAAAACTCTAAAAACAACTAGAATTGCTCCAAATCATATTAAAATAAGTTTCATGAAAATAGCCATCCACAATTCGCAAAGTTTTTCCACTTTGCAAGAAAAGAAAAAATCAACTTCCATTTTTTGTCACGTAACGACACTCTCTTTAAATGCTTATATTTCAGGACCAAGCAGTTCGATTGTTTTCATTTTTCGGTTAAATAAGAAGCTAATTATGTGCTATACAATGGCCCAAAAAAGTTAAAGAAAACAAATGGTATTCCTTTTTTGTATCACATTGAAATCGTACGACTGTCACGTGCGCCGCCTTGGGAATGCCCATATATATTTTTTTTGGAATACTAATTTTGATTAAACTTTCTTCTCTAGTTTTGTGGCTAATCGTCTTAAACTTAATTTAAATTATAATCTTAATCTTAGCCTTTAGGTTTAGTATTAGCTTTAGTCTTAATCTCCATTGTACCCAACCACGGCCGCCAACCCATCCCTTCTCTGTCCCTACAGAGATATGTATGTAGATTCAACTTTTAAATATTGTGGGGCACTTAAGAGTCGACTTTATTTTGACTATGAATATGCCCCTGCGTATTTTGATATTAAGTTTTCTATTTTCAATTTCTTCTTACTTTATTTCAGAATGGACATTGAAGAAGATATGAATAAAAACAATGATCTGCCGGCTACCATAAATGAGTGAGCCGCATTACAAACTACAAAGTTTCTAAATATATTGCCAGAAAGCCTATCAATAGCATTTGCAATATATGTTTGTACATGTATACATACATATGTATGTATGTATATATTTTTTGACAATACTATTTAAGTAAAGCATGACTGATTGTGATAACAAATTCATTTGTTACGTGTTACGTTAATGTTACTTATTGTTATACATGTATATGTAAGGATTATACGAGTAAATTTTATGTGTGTGCATATTTACGTATGTACAGTGGTGGGCACATAAATAAGGACACTACTTCTTTACAAGTTTGGGTTATTTATTTTATTTTTGCTTGATTTTTTTGCCGACGCTGTTACCCGTTTTCCTTCATACAAAATATGGTGGAATATATTTTTTTTTATATAGGAGAAAATGAGCAACACTGTCAGCAAAAAAAGTTCTCAAAAATCAACGCGAATCCGAAACGCACAATATTTTATATTAGAATTAAATGCGCTACAAAACTGCATACCCGAATTTTTCCTAGAAATTCTGATTAAAATGTTTGAAAGTTTGATGACCATTTTTTGAAATGTGGCTAAGCTTCATAAATCTTTTTCAAGGTTTGAAACTTTTATTTACGTGGTTTTCGTTGTCGTATAAACTATATTTTTGCAAAAATAAATAAAGAAAAAATAAATGGTTAAAACTTGTAAAGAAGAAGTATCCCTAGTTATATGGCCACTACTGTATGTACGCTGATAATTTGCAGTAATTTAATTTTTTTTTACCAAACTAGCGATTAATTCACTAAAGAAAATTTCGTATTTTTTATAAGCTTTTATTTTTTATTTTTAAGCAACGTCGTACACAAAACCAGTCACAAAATGGACAGCATGAAACTACCAATGGAATTACATATGTATGTATATACATATGTATCATTACTTACTGCAGACTAGCCAGCAAATTGTTTAACAATAAGGACCGTTTTTCAAGTTGCTTTTAAAATTCAACCGCCTTTTAAACACAAATCTAGTTAAAAAAAAAAACAATTTATGAAGGTCCTAAGTGTATTTTAAAGGTGCACTGTTTGATCCCTGCGTAAAATTTATTAGATTTCAAAAAAATTTACAACAAATTAGATGCTTATATTTTTGTATATCGAATGGCTTATTTTGCATTGATTAAGATGCCTCATATATTTAAAGATTTTATGTATGTAAATATATGTACATCCATCCGTATCGCTTAGTGGTAAATTTTGTGAATTTTAATTTTAAATATATTTTTAAGCAATCGCGCCGATTTTGTTAAAAAAAACTTTACCTATATAAACATACATAACTGATTTTAGTTAGGTATACTTAGTTAGGAGTTTTTACAATGTCAGCTTGCGGTTGATGGTGCTTTTTTGAAATGTTCTTCTGTTTACGTATCGGCTGTATAAGAATGCGAAACTTCACTCCAAAGCTGCTGTTTTCAATAAAAAAAAAAAATAAAGTATTCACCTAATAGAGCAAGTGGACTGGCCCTTTGCCAAATAGCAGATTAGCTCAAGCAACGGCTGTTGCTCTTTGCCACTTGCTCAATTTGTTGAATACCTACATACATATGTATGTAAGCTGGCATTGCAAACACTCCCTCAAAACTCAAGTATGCAAAGTTTTGGTAAACGTTTTAGATGTTTTACCAATTTGAATATAATCTAAAAGTATGTGGAAGGAAGTGCCTTAAAATAAAATAAGAATTGATACAATTTTTTATTTAACAAAACGTATTTTTACAAATGTACATTTTTATAAGAACTAACAAATTCCTATTAAAGTGTAAACTTTCAATCACTTTAAAATCTTGTATTTTTTAATTCATGTACTTAATGAAAATAATGCGTTTGTCTGGAGCCCGATTTTTTGAACTTTTTAAAATGCCACAGAATTACTTTCTACCATTTAGTTACAGCAGAAATTCATCATCGATAGCAAAGTTAGATTGTCTTTCGATGAATTTCGTTGAGGTTTTTTTTTTGGAGTTTAACCACTACCCTTCGCAGACAAAGAGCTGCAGTTACCGCGACAATACTGTGTCAGACTTTACTACTACCTATTCAAATTTTACCTCGATATACCCAACACATTCATTCAGATTACGCCCTTCTCTGTTTATCTGATCCCGTTTAAGCAAAAATTGAGCTTGACAGCAACGATTGATAGACAAGCCGCTTAAAGCAGAGCTTAGTAGCGCCGCTGCAGCAATTATGAGTTTAACCTTCTACAATCTACAGACCGTAATTGTGCCAGAGTACCGCGGGTCTCGCGGTAAAGCTCTCGCTCTGCAATAGATGGTGGTTGAACTATAACAGCATTAACGGGAAGAGAGCTAGGGAAGATCTGATTGTGTGTCTATAAATGGCGTTTATTACCTGTCAGTGATCGTAGAATAAAGTACTGGATCTATCTCTTCACTTAGTTAAGGTGAATTTCGATTTGCCCAGGAGCAGGCTCTGAATGGTATTTAATAGGGGCTTCCCAACACGGTGTACCCCTATATTCGAAAGTGTTAGTCCTACATAATTTGGTATATGGACCTTTTTTTTTTTAGGGAATCGAAGTAAGCTAAGAAACAAAAAAATGCACTTGAACTTTGATGGACTTGGGTGAGCCTAAGATATAGATATTGACCAAAAATTATCACCTTGCACACAGATTGTATTTAGTTAGAGCATGATAAACCATATTTTTGCTATTACCAATACAAATTCTAAAAAAAAACGGATTTTCGGCCCACGCTACTGCTTACCTTGTAGCTGTTGTCGTAGTTCGACTAGCCTATTAAATGTTTTCGTCAAGCTTAACTAACGAGAGGCCCAGAAAATTTGCTGTTTCGACGGCGTCCGACATGAGAGAGATGGGTTTAAGGGATCCGACATGTACTCCCACGTCATCCGGTTCTATGTATTGGTATACTAGGGCTTTTCTGACCAAGAGTTGTTGTTTCGGCGTTCTAATACTTTTATGCAATTCGACGATTCCTACTGGTTACCTCTTCGATCATATTAGATTCCTTAATACGGCAAAATCTGCCGCCTCACTCCTCACATGAACTAAGGAAATCTGTCTAAATGTCGACATGGAATTTACCGACGTCAACAATGCTACAGTAAATCGCCGATTACAGTACTTGACAGTCTTTTCTCCTTTTCCGCATACACTACCGAGACTTGGTAATAGACTTTGCTCGAGGAAAAGGATATACAACTCTTTAGCGGGCAACACTCGCAAAGGGACTTACAGGGGATTAGCCGGTCGGTTTTTGTTGTTGTGGCGGCTAGCTTAGCTCTGCGTAGATCGCTTAAGTCATTAGTCAGTGGCGTCTGTTAAGGTGGCAGCTGAAGAAATCGTTGGTATCTGGCAGGTTTCCTGCAAAAGTTTGCCTGGTTGCCGGGACCGATTCTGGTTAAGAAGGAATAACGAAAGCTATACAAGCTACGAGGGCCACACGAGGCAGATGAAGCCGCACACAACAGCGGGTGCTACCTTTCTAATGACAGGTTTTCACCAAAACAGGAATGTGGACAGAACCTAGCAGTTACACGTAGTGGGGAAATCTCCAGCCTTCCAATAAACGTCTCCTTACGTAGTGCTGTCTCCGCATGTCGTCGGGGAAAACCATCTTTCTAACGAATCGCCAAAGGTACACATGAGGAGGCATCTCTTTGACAGGAGATACTCCGTCAAGCGTTACTAAGAATTTCAATTGGCTAAGAAGCAGCAGTGATTGCATTCAGTCAGGTGCTGACTCATGCAACGCAGTTCCTTGGAGTGTTATTAGAGGAGTGTCAATAGCGTCAATTGGTTTGTTGGGAGATCCATTGTAAAATTGGTCGGTAATACGATAACTCAGAAAATAATAAGGCCCTTACAAAATATCAGTCGAGTCAATATAACTAAATCTCAAATCTTAAAAAGGTCTTGGAAGTTGGTGCGGCGGAGTATGCTCCTAAGAAAACAATTGTAACGAAGTTAAACATTAGAGTGAATAAAAACCACAAAATAACCAAAAAAGAAAATCGATATCTTAAGGGGAACTTCTGTTTGAAACACCCTTTACATTTCCCAAGCAAAACTGAACATTTGCAAATAAACAACGCAAAAGTGCAGATTCAGCAATGTCAACGTTTGACCGCCGAAAAGGTTGACTTTCACCTTGCGCATCGCTTGAGAAAATTGGCAAACTCAGCATTCTATGCAACTCAGCGCTCTATAAAACCAGTAATTATGCGCTCGCAGTAATGTATTCACCACCGAGCTGTGCGGGTGTAAATTTCGCAATGAATAAAATTAATTTATTATTTAAAGCGTTTTTGTTGCTGGCCATTTACTGTAGCGCCAGTTTAGCTGGACCCAACTTCAAAAAGGAGCGCGTAAAATTACGTAAGTTGTATGATTCTTGATGTGCTTATAATTTTTTCTGGCTTCCTTTCTCTACCCTTTCATAGCATCCTTTGTGAAGATATGTCGACGCAATGATCCAAACTTAGATGTATGCGCACGCAAGTCATTGCTGGCTCTGAAAGATTTTCTCAGTTATGGCATACCAGAGCTATTCATACCGCCCATAACACCATTGGTGGTGCCCGAAATTAGAATGGATCAAGACTCAGGTGCAGTTTACCTGCACTCCATCTTTAAGAATATCACCGTGAATGGTTTGGACGATTTCACGCTCAACGAGCTGCATATTGATCCGGAAAAAATGAGATTTACTTTGGGAATGGGTGTGCCTAAAATAGCCATGGATGCGAAATATGTATTGAAAGGCAAAATTATGATGATGCCACTGATGGGCGAGGGAGATTTCAAAGCGAATTTCAGTGAGTCTCATTATTTTTTATATAAGAAAATACTTCTTTTGATATTATTTTTTATTTTAGCCGATGTTGAGCTGAACACACTGATTACGGCGGAACGCTACAAAAAGCATGGTCGCGTATTTGCCAAAGTGAAGGATGTCAAGGTGGAGTACACGCTTGGCAAAACGGAATTGCATTTTAGCAATCTCTTCAATGGTGATGAAGCGCTGGGTGAGCGTATGAATATGTTTTTGAACGAGAACTGGGATTCACTCTCGGATGAGCTGCGTCCACTGATGGAGCGTTCGATTGCTGAGTTGGTACGCGCTTCGACGGTGAAGATTTTCGATACATACAGTTTTGACGATTTGTTGCCCGAATGAAGTGTTGGAAGTTTGTTATTCCTTCAATCCCTTAAAAAAATATTAAAATTTAGCCCTTTTTTATATAAAAACGTAATTTTACTTGTACTAATCTGCCTTCCGGAAAATTCGTTCCAACAAATAGCGAGCTGATGGTATCGGCACTTGGCAGTGTTTCCAACTGGGCAAAACAAAATGGGCTAGGGGTATAGCGTTCTAACACCGAACTTGTCTTGCTCACGAGGAAAACAAGAGTTCCAGAATTTCCCTTACCAAAACTAGCCTGAGCTTTTCGTGTGTGGAATAAATACCTAGGTGGTACCTTTGACTCCAATCGGAACTCGCAAGGCTCGGTATATTCGGCGCCGTGAGAAACGCACTGCAAATCGGGCTGAACATGATATTTTACTTGAAACCACAAGTATTCGTAACAACAAGTGCAGCCTTTTGTCATCCCGGGATTTTTATTTTAAAATTCCCATAAACTTTGCAACTAGGGAAAATTAGGAAGGCGGCCTACTATCCAAGGACCTTTAGATAAGGCAAGAATATCGCCTGCCTGATAAGTACAGTGCCTTTCGGGCGAAGATCTTTGACATAGAGAAGTCGGATTGTCTCACACGGGATATTAAGTCTCCATCAGGGTGCGTCACTATGTATATTCTTGTACAGTTAGACAACATTACGCTCCAAGGAAGTAAACTCGAAATGTCATTGCTGGCTTCACTGAGTCATGTCAAAACCTCTCTCTGCTGGGTTCCTGGATATAGCAATATCGTACGGAATGAAATAGCTGATGAGATGGCTAGACACGGCTCGGAAACCCAAATTACTGACATATCAGTTAGAAGGATGTGCCTTCTTCTGGCACTCATAGAGGGCATTCAAAATGGGCAAATGTGTCTCCGAGTGGAAGTATGAGTCATTCATACACGCCTTCCTAACCTAATCTAACCTAGTACTAATCTGGAAAATTAAAAATAACTGTGAGTAGGTATTCAGTAGTAAGGTTACTTGGCCATTCGTAATTAGCCAATCCACTGAATGCTGATCTGGGTTGTTGTGTTGTGTAGTTTGGTTCTGATCCGCGTGAGCTCGACTGATGCGAAGTTTCTTAGAACCCTTACTACTTTCATCATAATTTTCGCGGACAACTAGGCTACAATGTTCTACCTATGATTGCCAAATTCGAGAAGATGCTGCTAGACTAAATATGGAGTTGTTATCACAGTTCGGGTTTTATGATGATTGAGATAGATTAGATTAAAGACTATGACACTATTAAGTCAGAGCGCGGCTACATGGTCCGTGAGCTGTAGGCCGACGCTCATTGGGGATATCGGCGTTGAGTTGGAATAAGTAGCTGTTTAGGCGGCTACAATATCCAGACAATAATTGGGCCCGCTTAAAGCAGGTTTCTTGTGGCTGTCGAAGATCTGCGACTACAACGGGTAGATACTGGGCTCGGCTCACGGCATTTATAGATCGAAAGACGTGGTATATGGTGACCGACTCACTATGAATGCCGTTGATCACTCATCGGTACGCCTTTGAGTCCAAAGGTTATTCGATGTATGTCTGGATCATGCCCATATATTCGAAAAGATGTCTTATGAAGTGCTTGGGGGAAGCTTTTCCTACACACGATTCCCCCGCTGTTGTTTCGGCAACTCAACCCCCTTTATATCGGCAAACCCCATCAATGGTTTTTTGTCTTTAAAGAAATACCTTACAGCTGGATTGCTCGACATCTTTCTCCTCCGGGTGAGCATTGAGTCCAACTCCGGGCCAGAAAACTACTTTTGCAGCGTTTGGTAGATACGACGTCATCCGAAGCCCACCTCAACTAGGTGCAAGAGGCCTGCTGAACCTCACAAGGTTTGCTTGCAGATCTATACATGTCTAAACAGACTAATAGACGGTGACCGAATAGATAGGTCAGCCAACTGCTGTGTACATCCACTGGATAGAGTATAAGGGATTTTAGGCCCCTTACTTCTTTAACAGCCACTTTGCAGATATATAGTGCAGTTTTAGTTTTCCTTGAATGATCCACAATAAGAATCCTATGCAAGAGTAACTTTCTGCCAAGAGCTTAGCTGAAATATTTCATCCTGATTGGGTACATCAGAACTAACATTAAACTCTTTTTTCAAGACCAGATAAATCTTCACAAACAGAGAGCGCTTTGTAGAAGTGCAGCATAAGCTACAACTTGGCAGTTGGTATTCTGTGGTCTTCGAACAAATAAGTTTCTTGGATTTTATCTCGAAAGGCTCGGAGCAGTCTTACCAATTTGGACTAAGTTAAAGTTGTGCTGGACGTCTATTA